GATCTTCTCCTGCAGTGGGCAGTTCTGCATTGTCACAGAAGGCAGGGACTGGGAGCTAGGCAGTGTGGCTCAAGCATTTGCCAGTGAAGACTGAGGCAAAGAAGTTGTTGAGTACCTCAGCCTTCTCCATATCCTGGGTAACCAGCTTGCCTGTTTCATTCCGGAGGGGACCCAGAAGGAAACACATAAGAAACACATAGCTGGGGTATAGATTCATCTTTAGAAGCTGCACTTTGAATGCTGTTAGTGGCCAGTACAGCATCCTCATAGGCATCAGGTTTCTTCATTTTTGTTAAAAAGATAATCTCATGCAAACTCGCTTCATGAAAAGGAGATTCCAAACAACATTAATTTCACATCCTTAAAAATATCACAAACTTTTGGTAGAAAGGCAAGCTCACAACAGAACAGACAAGTACTTTATAACAGTGCCATCAAATTAAAGATGTCTCTGCTCCGATATTTAATGGTTCTAAACCATGACATTGAATAGCCAAGCTGAAAAATACAACCACTCTTAAAATACTAAAAGAAATCTCTCTAATTCAAGACTGACCAGAAATGTTACAATAATAAATCCAATCGTTAAGCATATCAGAGAATGTATCAATACCTAACTGGAAGATGAGTGCCTCATACCAAGTACCTTGTAGCACACTTTTTTAATAAGTGACGTAATACCACAGTAACATATTAGAACTTATTTGCATTACTTCAGTTTTTAAACAGTTGAATATTAAATGTAAGACATTTCCTGCTTTCTTTGAAATTAGTTTTTTTAATAGCTATACTCTGAATCAATCATTAAACCTAAAAAGCAGCAAAATCAGAACTCTTGCAATGTTTGTTAGACACGGTCTCTTCTTAAAAGAGATAAAATATGTGATTAACTTGTTAAAATTATACCTGGTAATGCTCATCTGATGGCTCTGGTGTAAAACAGTTGACATCCAATACTTCAGTAGGCACCCATGGTAACAAAATACACTGCCTGATCAAACGATCTGTTTCCCCATAAGCATAATCACGAGTCACTTCATCTGCAGCAGAACAAGGAGAAACTTTAGGAACTGCCTTTCATTCTCCACTGAAAGTCTTCCTCTGGCATATCATACAAATCACAGTTGAACAGTTAATAATACAACTTTTGTGATTTAAATGTAAAATTAGAGATAAAGAACTAAACAAAAAAGGATATTATTCAGAGTGCAAAAATTAGTCTGAAACTATCTGACCTATGTCACTTTAGACAGACAGCTGAACCCTTAACTCCTCCACATGATGGGGCCATAAGGTGGCCTCCAACCAAGATTACAGGAGTAAATCATTGGCCTGGCATTTCCCAACTCCCACTACTTGACTTCCTGATTCTAAGCTACAAACATGGACTTTCAAGGAATTTTTTAAAAAACTCTCAGATGACTGAATCAGTAGTTTCACTAAGACAGTGATACAAGATTTAAGTTCTCTGTCAAACAAACATTAGCAACATTTTTGGACTGATAAAGGTCTCTATCTCACATAAATTATGGAAATATCAGGCAGAGAACTTTTAAATTTGATAGCGTTACAAATATGCAGTCACATATTTGTTCTACTGTGAAGTGCTTGATAATTTGTAAGAATGTGGCCCATCTTCTACTGTGAGCATTAAAAAAAAATACTCAGACACACACTTACCACCAGTTTCAAGGTCTCTCAAAGGCCAGAGAACAGTGTAAGCAATTTGTTGAGGCATATAAAACAGAGGTGCTGTTGCAAAACTAGGCTGATCTGAATGCTGAATGCGTGATCCAAATTCATCCATAATGTACCAGACAGGAACCTTCTCCTCCGCAGTCTGTACAATTAAAGAGAGTGAGACATCCTGCACACATCAATCGCTAGAAAAGCGCCGCAAGACAGAAGGTGCTAGCAGCACCCCCTACACCATTTCTCTGTTTCCTAATATAGGCAAGACTACGAGCAGGCACTAGGTACAGAGTAACACTCGCATCCCTGCAACTCCAAGGCTAAGCCAGCCTAGCTTCCAGCCACTGCTGGGAACAGCCTGTTCCCACCTCAACTGCATGGTCCCACCCTCTTTCTTACTACTGCTATTGCCTGCCAGACCCACCTCCCCTGTACCAAACTAGGCAGTTCAGGGAGCTGAATCAGCAGAAGGCTGTTTGGTAGAATTAGTTTTCCTTCAGTTGCTATCAAAATCAGTTTGCTAAAAGGACTTTGAAGTTTACAGCTTAAGAGTGAAGGACAGCAGGACTGTCTCCTGCAACCACAGCTGGCTGTGAGAGTGCTGAGGTTGCATCATCAAAGAACCCCTTCCTGTAACACTTGTCATGATAAAAATCCTGAATGAATTAAGTTTTAAATTGCTTCGTAGTGCTACTGTTGCCTTTTTACAGAGGCAGAAATGCAGCACAGAGATTAGACTTCAGATATTCAAGCAATCCAGTGTCAGAAAGTGGAACAGAAGACGGGTTCAATTACAGGTTGAATTAATTGTCTTCTAGGAAATCATTTGTCAAGTAGTAACACAGATAATTCCACCTGACTCACAAGCCATTCGTGACAAGAATATGGGAAACAAAGACATAGGGTAGAAAGATTGAGAGATATGGTTCAGATCTCCCTTTTATTTAAAGAAAAGGAGAAAGTAGTCACAACAAATCCCTTTCTTGTGGATTTTTCAGGCCTGCTACCTGTGAGCTAAACTAATACCTTAATTGATAAAGATGACCACTCCAGAGAACAACCTCAAGCCTCTGAGCTAATAGGTGCAGGTTGGTCACGCTCACACTGCTCAGGGCTTAGCCCAAGGAGTTCACCTTTCTCCTCTTTAATCCAAAAGACTCACAATAGCCTAGGAGCTACTTTGCAGACCCTACAAAAGGGGTTTTTAACTGAGCCCTCAGGCTCGTATTCCCTCAGAAGTGGCATGTATGCACCTGAAGGTGTTTGAAGGCTCAAGACATGCTGGTACACTGCTGAAGGACTACGTAGGGCGGAGGGACCAAACCTGGTGTGGCCTTATCCACACTACCTAAAAGTAGCAGCCCTTGGAGTAAGCCATGCCTAGAAACATTTATGCTCCACCTTCAAGCTAGTTGGTTCTCACCTGAGCTAACATTTACACAGTATGGACAATCAGTTGCCAAATACAAACCAGGAAGTTAAGTTATTTGACAGTGTAGATATATTCCTGGTATGTAAAGCACTCTATACAGGTGAAGAAAACCCTGAACATAGCTGAGAAACACACACTTGTATGTCAGACAGTTGATTCATGAGAGGTTCTTTCCTTCTCTTTCTATGAGAAAGTTTGAGTAGAAAAACCCCACTAACATACAAACAGATCTCCCCCTTCTAGACCCCTTCTTCTGCAGCACACTCTTCCCCTCTACATAAAACCCCCCTCAAAGTTCTCATCAGAAAGCTGGTAGCAAGCCGCCGGGCGTTTTAGCCCTACATGGCATTTGCTCTCCTTCCAAGTAGGAGTTTATTCTGAAATGCCTGTAAAGGACTTTCTTTTTATTGAAAATGTATCTTTGTTAATAGATATATATTGGAACGTCTTCATTAGGGACTGCTCAGAACTTTTTAGCACCCTAATTAGGCTTTAGAGTCTTACCCCTTGAGAAAGCTGGTAGGTCTGGTTGTACTTCCACATTTCCTGCAACACTTGCTCAATACTGCCCTCATCTGGGATCTCCCCATGAAAATCGATTCCCATGAGATTTGTCATTCTGTGCAGTAAGCCAGGTACGTGAAGCAGCTGCTGGCGGGCATGTTCAACACGGTACGTCCAGGCGTGGTCAATGAGGAAAATGCTTAAAGAGAATTTTGGTAACATTACAATGTTTTGGTTTTTTTGGGGTTTTTTTTTTTTTTTTTTTTACATGCATATAGACAAGTGTTCTGTGAATACAAGCTATGTTTCCTCGTAGATGGTTTGGTAAGTCTTCACTTATTCCCAAAGTCACCCCTAGAATACACATGGTGACATTACAGGTTAGGAACAACTTCCCAGCAATAACTTACACTGGTTTTGTTCTAGAAAGCTTATTTTGCATTAGTTAGTATTTCCATGAAAATGAGGAGCGAACACAGAACAGGGCACTCAGTCTGTAAGACCAGTTCCTTTAAAGGCTGGAAACACAAGAGTTTCTTCCCTTTTGATCATTATTACCTCCACTATCACTGCATCAACCTGATACTCTTGCCTGAAGAAGGAAAACAATACATTATTTTGCAAAAGCGTTTGAGGATCTTGTTAGCAATGAGCTCCATGACAACTACTGTCATCTGTAACACTAGGTGGATTGGTCTGATCATCAAAAGCCTGTGTCATTTGCTATTAAAAAAAAGGATTACATTTTAAGGGGTTTTTTTATTGTTTCTCTTTGGGGTTTTTTTGGGTGCTTCTCCCCTGCCCCTAGTCTTTCTAGAAAAAACGCATTGTTTTAAAAGAATTACCAATCTAACCCAAAACAAAATCATACACAACTGGCACAATTTCCTTTGACAAGTTTAACACTTGTTTAGGCTACATGATTTTTACAAAAAACACATCGTTATTCAAACAGAAGGCTTCTCCACATTTTGATTTTATCCTCTTAAGAATTCAGATTTCTCTCTGACTTGGTTCACTACTTGCTACCCAAACAAAAAACCCAACAACCCCACCCAAACAAAACCATCCCACCACCCATATTTCAGAAAATTAGAAACATGTCAGCTGTCACGCACACCAAGTATCCTTGAACAATTATTCTATCTCAGATTCCACATACAGAAGAAACCTCATTTAATTCTAAAATTAAAGGCTCCAGAGAACGCTAAGGTCAAGCTCTTTGGAGATGTTAGCAAACAGGCATGTTGGTGTTCTGCTCCTGCATTCACACACATCTGAATGCTGCATGGAAGCCCAAGATTATCGTAAGACCTGTTTTGAACTTTATAATTTAAGTGTGTTCTCAGATTTATAAAGACTTAGGTTAAAGCAGGCATGTAAAGGCAGATACCTATGCTCTATGTTGTTTTTACTCAACAAGGCTAAATTTAGATCTTTAGAATTTAGACTTCGTATGTTTACCTAAGACTTAAGAAGTATGAAAGCGCTGGCAAAAGAAGTTTTAAAGAACTGAGCAGAACTGCGTTTAGATCTCCAGCAGAGTTGACTTCATCTCACTGCCATTTATTAATACATGACAAATAGCCTGTTCTATGTTTGAAATCATAAGAACACAAAAAGCTGTGTTGTAGCATTAAGTTGTTTCTTATGCAACTTTTTTCTAGTTTTATAGCTGCATACCAGTCTCATATTCATGACAGATAAGCAGATTCTGAAGAAAGCCAACAGGAACTTGACATACTCATTTATATATGCATGCGAAGCATGCAGTTTACACTCTTGAATTGTATTTTAGCCAACTGGAGAAAATTTAATAGTCCATGGATCATTACTTTGAAGCTACTTAGTACCTCCTTAGCCTGAGATTTGTGAAGGTCACAACTATTTCTTCAGGTGTCGTCGTCCCCCCCGCCCACCCCCCCCCCCCAGCCACAC